TTAATCTTCAAACAGAAGGGACTTCCGAGATTCTTGAAAATTCATCTGAAAATCAAACAACAGTGAATTGGAGATTCTTTAAATTATAATAAAAATAAAACACGAGGTGTCCTCGAGATTCTTTAAAATTATTTTACAATCTAACAGAAGAATTTTTTTTTAACAGAACGCTGAGGATCCCTTAGATTCTTTAAAAACTTTTAACATTCAAACACGAAGAACTTTCGAAATTCTTGAAAATCATTTTTAGAGTCAAACATCAATGACTCTAAGATTCTTTAGACTCTTTTAAAAATAAAACTGAAGGATTTTGGAGATTCGTCAAAATTTTTTAAAGATCAAACATCAGAGGTTACCGAGATTTTTTAAATTCTTTCAAAAACAAACGCCGGAGATCTCTGAGATTCTTGAAATTCTTTTAATAATCGAACACAAGGAACGCCCGAGATTCTTTAAAATTCTTTAAAACGTCAAACATGAGGACTCCTTAGATTCTTTAAATTTGTTAAAGTTCAAACAGAAGGAATCTCTGAGAGTTTTCAAAATTGTTTTAAAAATCAAACAGTGACTCTGTGATTCTTTAAATTCTAATAAAGATAAAACACGAGCGGTCCTCGAGATCCTTTAATTTTTTTTTATAATCTAGCACAAGAAAGCCCGGAGATTCTTTTTTTTTTTAACAGAACCCTGGGAATTCTTGAGATTCCTTAAAATCTTTTAATATTCAAACACAAAGAAACTTCAAAGTTCTTGAAAATTGTTTTAAAAATCAAACATCAATGAGATTCTTCCAAATTTAAAAAAAAATCAAACATCAGAGGTCCCCGAGATTTTTTAAATTTCTTCGCAAATAAACACTGGAGGTCTCTGAGTTTCTTGAAATTCTTTTAACGTTCAAACTGAAGGAACCTCCGAGATTCTTAAGAGATCCTTTAAATTCTTATAAAAGTGAACACAAGATTCTTTAAAGTTCTTTAAATATTAATCTTCAGGGGGTTTCCAAGTTGCTTCACACGGGCCTGAGTTTCTTTAGATTCTTTTAAAAATAAAATTCAAAGATTTCTCTTTTAAAAACAAACGCTGTAGGTCTTTGGGGTTCTTGAAATTCTTTTAACAATCAAACACAAGGAAGCCCAGAAATGATTTAAAATTTCTAAAATGTCAAACATCAGGGGCCCTGAGATTCTTTAAATTCTTTTAACGTTCAAACAAGAGGAACATCCGAGATTCTTGAAACTTGTTTTAAAATTCAAATAACAGTGACTCTGAGATTCTCTAAATTCTAATAAAAATAATCCGACATTCTTAAAACTCTTTTAACAGTCAAATATCAGGGGTTCTTAAAATTCTTTAAACTCTTTTTAAAAACAAACACAAGGAGTCTCAAGATTCATAAAAATTGTTTTAAAATTAAAACATCAGCGGTCCTCAGATTTTTTAAATTAAAAAAAAAATAACATTCAAGCAGGGGTTCCCGAGTTTCTACAAAAATCTAATATCAGAGGTTCCTGATATTCCTTAAATTTTTTTAACAATCAAATATAAAGAAGTCCTGAGATTTTTACTTCTCGAGCGTAAGGTAAAGGAGTATTGTAATCGAGTCCATAGAGCAACTGGCTACTTTCATGTTTTGTCTACCTGTACGTTTGTGTCAATTTTTATTAGACATTATTGCGAAATTACCGGACTGATTGTTGTCAAATTTTAGGTGGATTTTGAAAATTTGTATTTGACAGATTTTTTATCTTGTAAGATTTTAAAATTCGCTAAAAATCAAAGTTGAGTTTCTTCAGATTCTTTTCAAAATAAAACTCGAGGATTTATCGAGATTCTTCAAAATTCTTTTAACAGTCAAACACAAGGAACCCCCGAGATTCTTTAAATTCTTTAAAACGTCAAACATCAAGGTTCTGAGATTCTTTACTCTTTTTAACGTTCAAACCTCCAAGATTCTTTAAAATTCTTTTAAAAATCAGACATCAGGGGTTCTTAAGATTCTTTAAATTCTTTTAAAAACAAACGCGACGAGTCTCAACATTCATTAAAATTGTTTTAAAAATGAAACATCAGCGGTCCTGAATTTTTTTGAAAATCAAACATCAGAAATTCCTGAGATTTTTTAAATTCTCTCAAAAGCAAACTCTGGGGGTCTCTGAGTTTCTTGAAATTCTTTAGACAATCAAACAATACAGAGCGTAAGCTAAGGAAGTATTGTAAGCGAATCCATAGGGAGACTGATTTACATGTTTTCTCGACGTTTCGGACCCCAAGCGTACGAAAAAATAGGTTTCTTGGTTTCTTCTGTCTGTGTCAATTTTTATTAGACAGATAAAATTTCCGAAACTACCGGACCGATTGTTGTCAAATTTTATATGGATTTTTGAAGATTTGTATTGGACACAATTTTTGTCTTGTAAGATTTTAAAATTCTTTAAAAATCAAACTTGAAATGTTTCTAAGATGCTGTAAGTTCTTTCAAAAACAAAAGCCAAGCGTCCTTGAGTTTCTTTAGATTCTTTTAAAAATAAAACTCGAGGATTTCTCGAGAATCTTCAAAACTCTTTTAACAATCTAACACGAGATATCCCCGAGAATTTTGTTTTTTAACAGAACGTTAGAGATCCCTGAGATTCTTTAAAATTTTTTAACATCGAATCACGAAATTCTTGAAAATTACCTATTTTTAAAATCAAACATCAATGGCCTTGAGATTCTTTGAATTCTTATAACAATAAAACACAAAATTCTTTAAAATTCCTTAAAAATCAAACCTTAGGGGTGTTTAAGATGTTTTAAGTTCTTTCAAAAACATACGCCAAGCGCCCATGAGTTTCTTCACATCCCTTTAAAAATAAAACTCAAAGATTTCTAGAGATTCTTCAAAATTCTTTTAACAATCAAACACAAGGAACCCCCGAGATTCTTTAAAATTCTTTAAAACGTCAAACATCAAGGTTCTGAGATTCTTTACTCCTTTTAACGTTCAAACAGAAGGAACCTCGAAGATTCTTTCAAATTCTTTTAAAAATCAAACATCAGGGGTTTTTAAGATTCTTTAAATTCTTTTAAAAACAAACACGACGAGTCTCGACATTCATTAAAATTGTTTTAAAAATGAAACATCAGCGGTCTGGAAATTCTTTAAAAATCAAACATCAGAGATTCCTGAGATTTTTTAAATTCTTGAAATTCTTTAGACAATCAAACGTAAGAAACTCTTGAGATTTTTTACTTCGCGAGCGTAAGCTAAGGAAGTAAGCGAATCCATCGGGCGACTGGCTATTTTCATGATTTCTCGACGTTTCGAAAATCTCCCAAACTACCGGACCGGATTGTTGTCAAATTTTACATGGATTTTTCAAGATTTATATTTTATAGAATTTTTATCTAGTCAGATTACCGTTGAAAATGCAGCGGTTGTACAAAGAATATAATAAATAAAATAATTATATAATAATAACTTAAAGATGTAAAAAATCGTCTAAAATTATTTAAACGGAACTTTCATAGTTAAATTATAAAAACTGATTACGCAAATTTTATTTTATTTTTGTGATAACATCAATAACATATTAACAAAAAATTATGGGTTACAAAGGAAAGTAACGTCATCAAATTTTTGGAGATTATATGTAAATTTTTTTGAACAAGTTTGAATTTTATTGCAAAAATTCTAGACATCTTTAAAAAAACACAACAGATTAATAAATAAATAAAGCACAAACACAGAAACCATTACAATTACACTCAGTATTCCATAGCAATCGACTGGGTATAGTTTCTAACGAAAATAAAAATGTTTGGAGACGAAAGCGAGAGATCACGATCACGATTCCCACTAATTAAAAAAATAAAACAAAAACAATTCCTTTGAAAAGACTCCGGTTCCTACAACTTGAAACGAATTTTAAAATACTTATGTATGATATTATTTGTGTTTTAGGGGTGGTGTAAGGTAGCTTTAGAACGTTGCAGATAACAGAAAAATAAGAAGCTTTAGCAAAAACTCTTAAAAAAACCCTCCTTGTTCGTTATCCAAGCCATGTTTTTTCTCAAGGGGACGCTTTTTAGACCGAACTCTTTAATCTCGACTCGAATAATAGTGAATCTTGACAAAGGAATCTCCTTGCTTGTCCTAATGAATTTTATTATTCGAACCACTCAGACTAATTGTGCTAACTTTGTATAAAAATTTTGTTTAATTTTCAAATTCTTGCAACAATCAATAGCGAATACCGCATCCTCAGTATTGCATTAATAAAACGTAGACGAAATTAGGAACAATAAAAGGGAGATGAAGAAGTTCCTTATGTAAGAATGTAATAAATGAAATCGGGAATTTAGTGAATGAAAAAATGTAGGTAAGTGAAGTGAAAGCTTGAGAATGAAAAGAAAAACAGCCACTAAAAATGTCTGGAAGAACAATAACACAAAATGAGGAAAGAAAAAGCCACAACAGCAATGCTTAAATATTTAAGACAGAACTCAAAAAGCACGCGACAACTATTGAACACAAGGATTCGATAGAAAGGGTTCAAAGGATTCGATCTCGAATATTTTTGAGGATAGCGGGATTCGCCACAGTAGGAAGCCGCCGTTTCTCAAGTACCACGCAGAGCGCGAGCACTTCGCGTTAAAGAGTTAATTCGAGCGGAAGCAATTCTGTTAATTTTCTCATAACCTCTTTCTGCGGGCAAGCGGCGTCGGTCCGCTCTCGGCGCCGCGGTCCGGCCCTGTCCGACGCACCCCTCGTCCACGTCGCGACGAGCGCGTTAATCGCGTTAATTGGTCTGTTCCTTTTTTAGCCGCTGTTCCCGAGGTAGGCATTGAAACGAAAGACGCAGCCTCTTGTAAGTACTCCGCCAATCATCCACTTAGTACAAGGAATTTTAAACGAGTTAATTCAGTTCACTGCTCACAATGGCAACATGACGAAATCACTTTTCGATTTTCGCTTGCGGGGAGAGAAAGCACGTGCTGGAGATAGGGGTTGTATTTACCTGATGCCAACGTTTCGAAGTCCATGTTGTTCCTGCTGCGACTCTTCACTCACTGATTTGACCCCCGCCCCTCTTATTACACTACTGCTGGTGACAATCATCTGCTCGACTGGACGATAATATTGGGCACTTGCTAATGTCACTGCTGTTGTTGTATTGTACTCCAACTGGCTTATTGTCGATGCTCCGATTAGATCGTAAACAACCGACCTATCTGCATTCACAGCGATTATTTAAGCACATTCACGTATGCCGGCCGAATTCTATTATCGTGATTACAGAAGTACGGAAAAGCTGCATTTTTCGAAAATTGGCTCAAATTTGACAACCGAAAGTCCCAACACATGACGGAAATTGCATAAGAGTGCGTAGATGTAGGGACGGAGAAGACAACACATCAGTTTTTTTTTTTAATTTAAAGGTAAAAATGCATAAACAATAACTTTCAATTTATCATGTTGGTAACTGTCGTGAATTCTACCAGCCTACGTTTAACTACTACACGTTGTAGACGTAGTATTTACATGATAATAAGATCTAATAAATTTAAATTAATATTCAAAAAATTGTCCAGTAATTGTGACTTGTGATGAATCACTATATAATGAGAGTTTTATGGGCTCTAGAGGTGCTATGAACTATAAAAAGTTTCTTACTAGTTGTTGCTTCCTGTAGAAATAATCTGACGCTTCTTTTCAGAACTTCCGGTCAAGCGGCTTGGGATGAATTCCGGGAAGAATTTTCCAATAACATCTTCGACTGTCTCCAAGTTCCGAGAAATCAGCTCTTGGGGAATATGATTCCCAGTTATCCGTACTTTTATGGTGACGAAATGATGTTATATTAATTATATTAATTAAATCATTGTTTTGTGGGTTGGTATTCCTGGTGGCTGATTAAAATTTGACAGACATTTGACATTTGTCACTATGGGATGATTTTCAGGTTATTTCTGCGTGCCTTTTGCATCCAAGTGAGATTTTTTTTATCTATTTTCTCGAGTAAATATCTTAATAGGCTTGAAGAATCATACTAGAGGAATTTACCTAGAATCTCTAAATCAATAGATTAACTTAGTTTTAAGACGGTTTAAAACTGTCCTTTTTCTGTGGGAGCTCCGTGTGCCAACATTCGACAGTAACTTGCATGTCTACCAACTAAGGTTGTCAAAACAACTAGATTTATTTTTTAAAATAAATATACCCTTGTTTCTGTTGATTTGCCTCTTTTTACCTTTTTCACTCCTGTTATTACTACAGTAATAATTTAGAGGTTGGTTTTTTCAGAGTAATTTACCTTCATAGGAAGATCTCCGAAATTATTATATAAAAAAAAATAACTAAGTAGTCTTGTAAATGTTTTTACCACACTAAATTAATTTAAAAAAAAAGAGAACATTCATACTGCGAGTGGAGCGAGCACATTTAGGTGTTTTTAAAAATTATTGGTGACTGCCCCGAAAAGCTAAATTAATCATAAATATGAGAGTTTTCTAGTGTCCAGAAAAGTAAATCCCATAAATTTTCTTTCCAGCACAATTATAAGACAACAAAGTTCAAAAAAAAAAAATTTAATGCGAGCCCAGCGAGCACGTTCAGGTGTAATTTAAAAAAATATTCGTTGGTATTCCTGAGAAGCTAAATTATCAAGAAAAATGTTACAAAATGCGAGTTTAAAGTCTGTTTGTGATCACTATAATGTCTTGGCATTGAAACATTGAAGAATTCAGAACAATCTAGAAAAAACTAGAAAAATTTGTAAGAGTCTGCAGGGATCTGAAATGATCTGGAAAAATCTGAAAGAATTTGAAACGATATGAAAGGTGGAAAATTCTTCGTTTCCAACTCTTTGGATTTTATCTGATCCTCTTTTTAGCATTTTTGGGATTCTTTCGAACTTTTTCAGATTTCTTCGAAATTTTCAGACTCTTTCAAAGACAGAAATCCTCAAGATTCTTTAAAATTGTTGAGTTCTGTTCAGATTGTTTCAGATCCTTACAAATTCTTTCAGATTTCTGCATACTCTTCCAGGAATCTGAGGAAATCTCGAAAAATCTAGAAGAATCTAGAGGAATCTGAACGGTTTTGTAGGACTGAAGCGATGTGAAAAACTTTGAAAAGATCTGAAAGGTGAAAAATTTTTAGAGAATCTGAAATAATCGAAAAAATTTGAGAATCTAGGAGAATGTCAGAAAATCCTGTTTCTAGTTATTTTTTGTAGGAGTATATTTTTAGTTTATTTAGTTTCTGAAATTGGGATCTCTTCCTGATGAAATTAGCAATTATTATTATTATTATTATTAAAATCGAGTGAATCCTAGAGAGTCTGAGGGAATCTAAGAAATTTTGAGAGTTTTGTATAGAAATTGAAGGAATTTGAAAGAATCTGAGGAAACCTGGGAAATTCTGGAAAATTTTGAAGAATTTAGGAAAATCTAAGAGAATCTAAAAAAAACTGGAGGAATGTGAAAGAATTTGGAAGGATCTGGAACGATCTGGAACGATCTGAAAGGTGAAAAATTTTTAGTGAATCTTAAAGAATCGAAAAAATCTGAGAACCTAAGAGAATGTGAGAAAATCTATCGCAAGGAAGTAGAAGCTGTACAAAAAAAAATGTTTAAATTTTTAGCCTTTTTACAAGATTCTGTTTACCCCCAATTGTTATTATGTTTAAGGTAACTTAATTTTTTTGTTAATTTTCTAGTTATTTTTTATAGGAGTATATTTTCAGCTTATTTAGTTTCTGTAATTGGAATCTTTTCCTGTTGAAATTAGCAAATAGTATTATTATTAAAATCGCGAGAATCCGGGAGAGTCTGAGGGAATCTAAGAGAATTTGAGAGTTTTGTATAGAAACTGAAAAAATTTGAACCTGGGAAATCCTGAAGAATTTTGAAAAATTTAGAAAAATCTACGAGAATCTAAAAAAAACCTGGAGGAATGTGGAAGAATTTGGATGAATCTGCAGGGATCTGAAAGGATCTGAAACGAAAAAATCTGAAAGAAAAAATCAGAAGGAAAATGAAAGAATCTGGAGGAATTTGAGAGAAATTTCGAGATTGGAAAGAATCTGAGAGATTCGGAAAGTATTTGAAGGAATCTGAGGAAACCTGTGACAATCTGTGAGAATCGCGAAGAATCTAGAGAAATCTAGAAGAATTTGGAAATAGAATTCAAAAATATGAAAGAATCGTGAAGATTCCTGACGGTGTCTTTGAAAGAATTTGCAAAAATTTTAAACAGACTGAAACAATGCCAAAGAATCCGAAAGGAAGAATCTTAAAAAAAAAGGAAAGAACTTGAAAATGTCTGAAAGAATCTGGAAGAATCTGAGGTAATCCGAGCAAATCTGAGGGACTATGACACTAAGAAGCGGAAAGAATTAGAAAGAATCAAAGAGGATTGGAAAGAATCTCAACAAATCTAGACGAATATGGGTAAACTTAGAAGAATCTAGAAGAATTTGAATGATTTTGTAGGACTCTGAAGCGATGTGGAAAAATTTGAAAGGATCTGAAACGATCTGAAACGATCTGAAAGGCGAAAAATTTTTAGAAAATCTGAAAGGAACGAAAAAATCTGACAAGCTAAGAGAATGTGAGAAAATCTATCGCAAGGAAGTAGAAGCTGTACAAATTTTTTTTTAATTTTTAGCCTTTTTACAAGACTCTGTTTACCCCCAAGTGCTGTAGAGCATTTAGCTCTTTTGAAAAGATTTAATTTTATTTCACTGTTTCTAGTTATTTTTTGTAGGATATATTTTTAGTTTATTTAGTTTCTGAAATTGGGATCTCTTCCTGTTGAAATTAGCAGATATTAATATTATTATTAAAATCGAGAGAATCTGAGGGAATCTAAGAGAATTTGAGAGTTTTGTATAGAAATTGAAGGAGTTTGAAAAAATCTGAAAGAATCTGAGGGAACCTGGGAAATCCTGGAGAATTTTGAAGAATTTAGAAAAATCTAAAAGAATCTAAAAAAAAACTGGAGGAATATGGAAGAATTTGGATGAATTTGAGACGAATTGTGAGATTGGAAAAAATCTGAGAGATTCGGAAAGTATTTGAAGGAATCTGAGGAAGCCTGTGGCAATCTGTGAGAATCTCGAAGAATCTAGAGAAATCTAGAAGAATTTGGAAAAGTCTACAGAGATCTGACAGTATCTGCACGATTTTAAAACGACCTGAGTAGAATTCAAAAATATGAAAGAATCGTGAGGATTCCTGACGGTGTCTTTGAAAGAATTTGAAAAAATTCGAAACAGTCTGAAACAAAGCCACAAAATCCGAAAGGAAGAATCTTAAAAAAAAGGAAAGAAATTGCAAATGTCTGGAAGAATCTGGAACAATCTGAGGTAATCCAAACAAATCTGAGGGCATATGATACTAAGAATCGGAAAGAATTAGAAAGAATCAGAGAGGATCGGAAAGAATTTCAAGAAATCTAGACGAATCTAGGTAAACCTAGAAGAATCTAGAAGAATCTGAACGATTTTCTAGGACTCTGAAGTGATGTGGAAAAATTTGAAACGATCTGGAACCATCTCAAAGGTGAAACATTTTTAGAGAATCTGAAAGAATCGAAAAAATCTGAGAATCTAAGAGAATGTGAGAAAATCTATCGCAAGGAAGCAGAAGCTGTACAATTTTTTTTTTAATTTTTAGCCTTTTTACAAGACTCTGTTTACCCCCAAGTGCTGTAGAGGATTTAGCTCTTTTGAAGAGATTTAATTTTATTTCACTGTTTCTAATTATTTTTTGTAGGAGTATATTCTTAGTTTATTTGGTTCTGAAATTGGGATCTCTTTCTGTTGAAATTAACCAATATTATTATTATTATTAAAATCGAGAGAATCCTAGAGAGTCTGAGGAAATCTAAGAAAATTTGAGAATTTTGTATAGAAATTGAAGAAATTTTAAAGAATCTGGAGGAAACCTGGGAAATCCTGGAGAATTTTGAAGAATTTATAAAAATCTAAGAGAAGAGGAATGTGGAAGGATTTGGATGAACCTGTAGGGCTCTGGAAGAACCTGAAACGATGGAAAAAATCTGAAAGAGAAAATCGGAAGGAAAATTAAACAATCTGGAGGAATTTGAGAGAAATTGCGAAATCGGAAAAAATCTGAGAGATTCGGAAAGTATTTAAAGAAATCTGAGGAAATCTGTGAGAATCTAGAAAAATACAGAGAAATTTAGAAGGATTTGGAAAAGTCTGCAGGGATCTGAAATTATCTGCACATTTTTAAAACGAACTGAATAGAATTCAAAAATTTGAAAGGATCGTGAGGATTCCTGACGGTGTCTTTGAAAAAATTTGAAAAAATTCGAAACAGTCTGAAACGAAGCCACAGAATCAGAAAGGAAGAATCTTAAAAAAAAGGAAAGAACTTGAAAATGTCTGAAGGTATCTGGA